TCCAAACTGCATGACTCTCGCTTGTCTCGCCTTGTGGCCTTGGCTATAATTTCCAGTACGGCATTGAACAGAAGTGGCCTGGCAGAAAGCCTCACCCCATTCACAGACTGAGAGGGACGCCGTTAGGGAGGCCCACCCTAGTGGCCACATTTTCACTCAATTACCTCTGTAAAGATCCCGTTCTCCAGATACAGTCACCTTCTGAGTCGCTGGGGTTAGGATGTGAGTTTTGGCAGTAGGGAGTGGGGCAAGTTCAGGACAGAGCAGGAATTCTCCCCTCTTCCTCTGCTTTCTGAATGAGTTCGTGTAAGGTTGGCATTCCCACATCACATCGGAGTTTAGCTGGAGGTTCCGCAAACGTGGCCCATTTCTCCAAAGTGGAGAAAGTTCCACTTTGTTCTCAGCCTGTCTCGAGTTCTTTTCTGTGATAATGGGTGTTGCTTTTTTGTTGAATGATTTCTCTGCGTTTGTTGAGATGACCGTGTTTTCTGCTCCTGTGGTGAATGACATTGATTGATGCTCAAATGGTAAACGGCTCTTGCATTCCTGGCGGAAGCACGTTTGGTCTTGGTGTATCATTTACTTCCCTTGCTGGCCGTGATTGCTAACATCTGGTTGAGTATTTTGTGTCTGTGTTGATGCGGGGGACACTCCCCATTCGTGTTTTATCGTAATGTCTTTCTCAGGTGTCCTCTCAGGCTTACATCTGCCTGGTACCAGGCGCTGGGGATTTTATTAGTTTCCTTGGGCTGCTCCAAGAATGTGCAGAACAGGTGGCTGGAACGACAGACACTTCCTTCTCACAGTCCCGGAGCCTGGGGTCCGAGATCGAGGTGGGGCAGGGCTGGTGCCTGGGGTCTCTCCTTGGCTTGCAGATGCCATCTTCTCCCTGTGTCCTCACAGGGCCGCCCCTCTGTGTGTGTCCGTGCCCTCATCTGCTCTTCTTATGAGGACCCCGGCAGACTGGGCCAGGGCAACCTTAATGACCACATTTTAACTTAATTACCTCTGTAAAGATCCCCTCTCCAAATACAGTTACCTTCTGAGATGCTGGGGTTAGGATATGAATTTTGGCAGCAGGGAGAGGGGCAAATTCAGGCCATGGCAGAAGTTCTTCCTTCTGCTTTCTGAATGAGTTTGTGAAAGATCGGCGTTGTTTCTCCCCTACGTATTTGATACAACTCACCATAAAACCATCAGGGCCTGCAGTTTTCTTTGCAGAAGGGGTTTGATAATGAATTCAGTTATTAAAAGTAGACATAAGGCTATCCAGATTGTCTATTTCATTTCATGCTGATTTTGGTAAGTTGTGTTTTTCAGAAATTTGTGTCACCCGTGTTGTTAAATTTATTGACATCAAGTTGTTCATAATGTTTTATTATCATCCTGTATTGTCTCGAGGATCTATATTGATATTCTTTCAGTCTAGATATTGGCAATTTGTGTCTTCTTTCTCTTTTTTAAATCAATCTTGCTTGAGAGTTAACAATTTTAACAATTAAAAACATCCATTTTGGGTTTGTTGGTCTTTTTATCTGTTTTGTATTTCAATAATTTCTGCTACTACTTTCATTATTTATTTTCTACTTTGTGGGTTTAATTTGCTTATCTCTTTTATGCTTCTTATATTGAAACCATATTATTGATGTTAAGCCTTTTTTTGTTTCTAAGCATTTAAAGCTATACATTTCCCTCTAAGCACCCTTTGCCTGCATTTCCACAAATTCTTACATTCTGTATTTTCATGATCATTCAATTCAAAATATTTTCTTCGAGATTTCTTCTTTAAATTTTTTTTTGTGACTGAGTCTTGCTACATCGCTCAGGCTGATAGACTCCCGGGTTCAAACAATCCTCCCACCTCAGCCTCCCACGTAGCTAGGAGTATGGGACTGAGCCACCTTGCCTGGCCTGCGATTTCTTCTTTGACCCACATGTCATTTAGATGTGTGTTGTTTAGTGTACAAATAGCTGAGACTTTAAAAAATATAAAAAGTATGTATAGGAGACACTGCAGCCCCTCATGCCAAACCCAGGGCAAAATGTCCCAGCTTCTCGCAACGACTCTGCGAAGAAGCGACTATTATGATTCCTAGTTTTCAGGTGAGAAAACTGAAGCTCAGAATCATTAAATTACCTTTTCAAGGTCAAACAGGTTGAATATGGTCCAGCCAGGTCTTGAGCCCTGCTCTGCTGGACTTTAAAGTTGATGCTACTGACTACCTGTGAGTTGTGTGCACCTGTGTGCCTGTGCCTGTGCCTGTGTGTCTGTGCCTGTGTTCCTGTGTCTGTGCCTGTGTGTCTGTGTGCCTGTGCCTGTGTGCCTATGCCTGTGTGCCTGTATCTGTGTGCATGTGTCAATGTGTCTGTGCCTGTGTGTCTGTGTGCCTGTGCCTGTGTGCCTATGCCTGTGTGCCTGTATCTGTGTGCATGTGTCAATGTGTCTGTGCCTGTGTGTCTGTGTGCCTGTGCCTGTGTGCCTATGCCTGTGTGCCTGTATCTGTGTGCATGTGTCAATGTGTCTGTGCCTGTGTGTCTGTGTGCCTGTGTCTGTGTGCCTATGCCTGTGTGCCTGTATCTGTGTGCATGTGTCAATGTGTCTGTGCCTGTGTGCCTGTGTCTGTGTGCCTGTATCTGTGTGCATGTGTCAATGTGTCTGTGCCTGTGTGTCTGTGCCTGTGTTCCTGTGTCTGTGCCTGTGTGTCTGTGTGCCTGTGCCTGTGTGCCTATGCCTGTGTGCCTGTATCTGTGTGCATGTGTCAATGTGTCTGTGCCTGTGTGCCTGTGTCTGTGTGCCTGTATCTGTGTGCATGTGTCAATGTGTCTGTGCCTGTGTGTCTGTGCCTGTGTGTCTGTGTGTCTGTGCCTGTGTGTCTGTGTGCCTGTGCCTGTGTGCCTATGCCTGTGTGCCTGTATCTGTGTGCATGTGTCAATGTGTCTGTGCCTGTGTGTCTGTGCCTGTGCCTGTGTGCCTATGCCTGTGTGCCTGTATCTGTGTGCATGTGTCAATGTGTCTGTGCCTGTGTGTCTGTGTGCCTGTGTCTGTGTGCTATGCCTGTGTGCCTGTATCTGTGTGCATGTGTCATGTGTCTGTGCCTGTGTGTCTGTGCCTGGTGTCTGTGTGTCTGTGTGTGTCTGGTGCCTGTGGTGGCCTATGCCTGTGTGCCGTATCTGTGTGCATGTGTCAATGTGTCTGTGCCTGTGTGTCTGTGTGCCTGTGCCTGTGTGCCTATGCCTGTGTGCCTGTATCTGTGTGCATGTGTCAATGTGTCTGTGCCTGTGTGTCTGTGTGCCTGTGTCTGTGTGCCTATGCCTGTGTGCCTGTATCTGTGTGCATGTGTCAATGTGTCTGTGCCTGTGTGCCTGTGCCTGTGTGCCTGTGTCTGTGTGTATGTGTCTGTGTGTCTATGCCTGTGTATCTGTCTGTGCCTGTGTGTCTGTGTGTCTGTGCCTGTGTTCCTGTGTCTGTGCCTGTGTGTCTGTGTGCCTATGCCTGTGTGCCTGTATCTGTGTGCATGTGTCAATGTGTCTGTGCCTGTGTGCCTATGCCTGTGCCTGTGTGCCTGTGTCTGTGTGTATGTGTCTGTGTGTCTGTGCCTGTGTGTCTGTGCCTGTGTGTCTGTCTGTGCCTGTGTGTCTGTGTGTCTGTGCCTGTGTGTCTGTGCCTGTACCTCTGTGCCTGTGCCTGTGTGCCTCTGTGTGTGTGTATGTGCCTGTGTGCCTGTGCCTGTGTGCCTCTGTGTGTGTGTATGTGCCTGTGTGCCTCTGTGTGTGTGTATGTGCCTGTGTGCACAGTTTGCTAGGTCTGTCATAATAAGCTACCACACACTGGCAGCTTAAACAACAGACATTTTTTATCTCACAGCAGGCTGGTTCCTCCTGAGGCTGTGAGGGAGAGGCTGCTCCAGGCACCCCCCCCAGCTTCTGGGCATCCCACAGCCATCGTGGCTCCTCAGCTTGCAGATGCATCCCACGGCTGTCTTCACACGGTGTCCAGACCTCCCCCTTTAAAAGATACACAAACACACCCTAATTACCTCATTTACACTTGATTAGCTGCAGACTCTATCCCCAGATCAGTTCATTCACAGATCCTGGGTGTTAGGACTCCAACATATGAATTTGGGAAAGACAGAATTCAACCTATAACGGCATGTGTATGTATATGCTTGCCTGCGCATGTGTGTGCACATACGTTCATATACCAGCGTGTGTGTGTTTGTGTGTAAACTGTGTGACTCTGCATAAAATCCTACCCTGAGGTTGACAGGTAGTGAAACCGGGGCACCATGCAGGTCCAGGACCTGCCGGGATGATAGGAGGCTGGGCAGTCACCTCTCCTGCACCCTCCCAGCTGACTCACCCTGTTCTGTGAGGTCAGGCTGCCCTGGCCGAGGGCACAGGAATGGGCAGTAGGTTACCGAGCCGAGGGTCTGCACAGGTCCTCCAGCCATCTGTGGAGGGGCCCCACAGGCGAGCGGGGAACAAGGGCTGTGTGTGCCTGGATGGAGGTAACTGCTGGGTGGAGGGCTGACTGTGAGCACCAAGGAGAAAGCCTTGAAGCCAGAGCCAGAGGAGGCTGAGGAGGGGCTGGCGGGGTGAGCGCAGAGTCGCTGCGGGAGCCCTCGGGACTCAGTGCCTGGGTCCTTGGGAGGGACAGAGAGCAGGACAGTGTGGCCTGGGCGCCGGGTCCAGGCAACTGTCCAGTCTCTGGGGGCCAGGCCGAGGAGCTGGACTTCTTCTCCCACGAGATCCCTCGTGTGGTGTGGATTTCTGGCTTCTTTTTCTTTTTCTTTCTCAGACAGAGTTTTGCTCTTGTTGCCCAGGTTGGAATGCAATAGCACGATCTCGGCTCACCGCAACCTCTGCCTCCCAGGTTCAAGTGATTCTCCTGCCTCAGCCTCCTGAGAAGCTGGGATTTCAGGCATGCGACACCACGCCCGGCTAATTTTGTATTTTTAGCAGAGACAGGGTTTCACCATGTTGGCCAGGCTGGTCTCGAACTCCTGATCTCAAGTGATCCGCCCACCTCGGCCTCCCAAAGGGCTGGGATTACAGGCGTGAGCACCCGGCCATCCTGGTTTCTCAAGTCTGGCAGATCCTCCCCAGATGCCTAGGCCCCCACAGTTCCCCTCATGCTGGGGTCCAAGCTGGAGGCAGCGTGGCTTCTGTGTGGGCCGCTGGCTGCAGGGCTGACCAATGGCCAGGGCTGCCCTGGATCTGCCAGCAGTGGCAGCCGGCGGGAAGTGGGTCCCAGGTGCGGGCTACTGGAAAGAGGAGGTTGAGCCACAGCCAAGCTGCTCAGATTTTCCAGGGTTGGACCCCTGGGTCATCTATGTGGGAGGAAGGAAGTGGTCCTGGGAGGGGCAGAGGGGCCCTCTGGCCCCCACAGGAAGGGTGGGCCCTGCATCCTCAGCCCGTGCCCCTCTTTCCTAGAAGCTGTGGGCCCAGGTCAACCCCAGGGGCCTGTGAGGGCTGGTGCAGAGCTGAGGATGAACACATCCCCACAGCAGGCCCCACTTGGACCCCGGAGCCAGAGGGGAAATTAGGGACGCTTCCCTGTTCCACTGCCAGTGCCCAGGCCATGCTGTCAGTGGACAAGTGGACAGGCAAGTGGGCAGGCAGCAAAGCCAGGCCTCTGCTGACCTCAAACCCAAGGTGTCCAGGGGGCCCTCAGCGGGAGTGGAACACCTGTACAGCATGAGGTTCTAGTACCACATGTGCCAGGGCGGCGGCGTCTTTAACCACCACTCAGAGAAGTTGTTTGCTGAGTTTCTTTTGTTTTGTAGCAGCATGACCTTTCCTCGTTGTGGGAAGAGCTGGTGCAGAACCTCCCTGGTCCGTGCTCTCCGTCAGTCTTGCCCTGTTTCGGGGGTCCATCCGGCTGCCACCATGTCCTGGTCCCCGAGGAGCCCCACGTACGCAGAGGCCCTTCCCCTCATCCTGGGATCCGGCCGCCACCAGGTCCTGGTCCCCACTGAGCCCCAGGTGTGCGGAGGCCCTTCCCCCATCCTGGGTCTCGTCATTGCAGGGGAAACTCTGAGGCCCCCCAGCCTCCTGGTCCTACCGCCCTCCCTGGCAGGTTCTTGTCGACTCAAGCCCAGTGAATGAGGCAGCTGGAGGATGGAGTTGCGGTCAGCGCTGACACCAAGGCGGCCCTAGGGGGCTGCGCTGCCCACCTCAGCTTTGCCTCCAGCATCAGCTGCTCGGCTTGCCCCTCACCCTGGGGTCCTCTGTAAGTGCCGAGCACTGCAGCCCGTGGGAGGGGGCTTTCTCCTGGCCCCAGTCCATCTCCTGATCACCACACTCCTCTCACAACGGCTTCTGGCTTCTGAGGTTTTCATTTTCACACCTGGCTTCTGTGGCAGGTATATATGTAAATGCAGGTCTATGTGCAGATATGTGTACATACGAATTGTGTGTGTACATAGCTATGGTATATGTGAGTGCATGCACTACGTGTGTGTGTGTGTATGTGTGTGACATGAACCTGTGCACATGTATGTGGTATATGTGGTACGTGTGCACACATATGCAACACATGTGTATATGTGGCAGTGTGTGTGATGCATGTGGGTATATACATGTATATGGTGTGTGTGGGAATGCATTGCACATGTATTGGTCTATGTGTGATATGTATACATGTGTGTGTTGTGCTGTGTGGTGCAAGTCTGTGTGCACATACATGTGGTGTGGCATGTGGTGCATGTCTGTATGCATGTGTGTGGTGTGATATATGTGTGTGTGCACATGTGTGTGATGTATGTGGTTCATGTCTGTAGGTATGTGTGCTGTGTGATGCAGCTCTCTGTGCACAAACATGTGGTGTGGCATGTGGCGCATGTTTATATGCATTGTACAGTGTGATACATGTTTGTGTGCACATGTGTGTGATGTGTGTGGCTCATGTCTGTAGGCACGTGTGCTGTGTGATGCAGCTTTCTGTGCACAAACATGTGGTGCGGCATGTGGTGCATGTCTGTATGCATATGTGTGGTGTGGCATATGGTGCATGTTTATATGCATTGTGCAGTGTGATACACGTTTGTGTGCACATGTGTGTAATGTGTATGGTGCATGTGTCTATAAGCACATGTGCTGTGTGATGCCAGTCTCTGTGCACATGTATAGCATGTGAGGGTGTGCACCTATGGTCCTGGTGTGGTGTGTACACACGTGAATGCTTGTGCACACGTACATGTGTGGCCTACAGGCATGTGTGAATGCTTGTGCACACGTACACGTGTGGCCTATGGGCGTGTGTGAATGCTTGTGCATGTGTACACGTGTGGCCTATGGGCATGTGTGAATGCTTGTGCATGTGTACACGTGTGGCCTATGGGCGTGTGTGAATGCTTGTGCACACATACACGTGTGGCCTACGGGCATGTGTGAATGCTTGTGCATGTGTACACGTGTGGCCTATGGGCATGTGTGAATGCTTGTGCATGTGTACATGTGTGGCCTATGGGCGTGTGTGAATGCTTGTGCACACGTACACGTGTGGCCTACAGGCGTGTGTGAATACTTGTGCATGTGTACACGTGTGGCCTATGGGCGTGTGTGAATGCTTGTGCATGTGTACATGTGCCTCTTTAAATTCAGGAGCTGCTCACTCGAATGACGTGGGAATGAGCAAAGGCAGGAACTCTGGGGTGTCCCTGAAGGCAGTAAATTCTTCCAGATCTGGAACAGAGCTGCCGGCGAGCGAGCCCAGCCCCGCTTCCTCCTTCCTCCAGGGCGATAATGTTCCCATGAGGCTCATTAGAGAAGATGGATGAATCCTGGCAGCTTGAAGGCTTCCAGAGTCACGAGCGTGCACACGCACACACACGCACGGCCCCGCCAGTCTCGTTACCAGCAGTTATGTAAAGCACGCTTCCTGGGAACAGCTCGCCTCATTAGTCCACCGGGGTGATTAAGCTGCAGAAAGAAGCTCTCTTTCCCAGAGTGGGGCACGCCGTGCCCAGTCGGTGCAGCTCAAACCTCACTCCGTTTCCAAAGGCTGGAAGTACTTTTCCGGCCCTGAGGGAATTCCCATGGATTTTTTGTTTGTTTGTTTTGTTTTTAGAGAGAGTCTTGCTCTGTCAGCCAGGCTGGGATGTGGTGGCACGATCACATCTAACTGCAGCCTCGAACTCCTGGCCTTAAACAATCCTCCTGCCTCAGCCTCCCGAGTAGCTGGGACCTCAGGCACGTGCCACCACCCTCGGCTAATTGCTTTTTGCATTTTTTGTAGAGATGGAGTATCACTATCTTGCCTGGGCTGGTCTCAAACTCAGGGGCTCAAGCAATCCTCCCACCTCGGCCTCCTAAAGTGCTGGGATTGCAGGTGTGAGGCTTCGGCTGAATTCCCATGGATTTTATGTCAGTTGGTGCTGAGGACTTTGAGGCTGATGCCAATGGTGATCCCTGGAATGTGGTGACCACCCACCTTGGGGATAATGACCCCAGATCCCCTCCCCCAGCCCTAATTAGGGCAGAAGCACCAAGGATTCTGCCTGGGAAATGGCTGGGAATACTCCTCCTCCCCAGCCCCTGAGGCTGGCGTACAGTGTGGGCATGGGGGTTGTGGGGGCCCAGGCAGGGTCTGACTCTGGCTTTCTGGGGACCCGGGCAGTCTGTCTCCCAGAGACTGGTGGTCTCGGCTGCCAGACCCCTGGTTACTGTGGAATTGGGGTCCAGCAACCCTGGATAGAAGCACCAGGCAAATGCTGCCGGCCAGCGGTGCTACCACTGGTTCCTCACATCCACGGCATGACCCTCATCTTACAGATGAGGACTTTGAGGTCCAGCAAGGTCACTAACTTGCCCAGGGTCGTACAGCAGGAAAGGGAGAGAAGAGATTGGGAGTGAGGCAGCCTGGCCCCAGACACAGGCCCCAGACACAGGCCCCAGACACAGGCCCTCACTCACTGCTCTGCCCTGCCCTGGCCTAAGTGTTCACAGGAAGCTGATGATGGGAAAGGCCTGGTGTCCTGACGATGCCCTGGGTCCAACTCCTTGGCTCCCAGGAGAACCCAGAGGAGGGCCAGGCCCTCCTACTCCAGGTCCTGGGATCCTGGCAGACAGGATGCTGGGACCCCTCCAGCCTGCGCTGCTGCAGAGGGGTGCCCCACGGAGGGGGTTTGCAGACCGCCTTGGAGCCCCTGGCCTCAGCCCTTGAAGCCTGAGACTCCCAGCACCCTGACCTGTGACCTTCAGTAACGATGATGCATCGGCTGGAATCAGACAGACCACCCAGTGACCCGGTCAATAAGGAGATTTCCTTTTACTTCCTTTGTTTAATGTCCTTCTTTTATCCACTCTTACATAATTCTATAACTTTTTATTAGGAAAATGAATCCATGAATGCATCACCAAGCTTCAGTGACAGCCAGGCTCCCTCTAGCCTCATAAATCCTCCCGTGGGGTATTTGAAATCAAACGAAGATGTCCTTCCACTGCGTCCATAAACACTGTGGTATGTGCCCCCAGCAGATAAAATTTCTCCTTTTTAGAAAACATAGTCGCAATGTAATCATCACAATTGAGTCCTAAATATTCAGCCTGTTCACATTTCCCTGACTGAAAACAGCTGCGGTCATGTGTTTTCCTTGCTGCGCTGGCCGAGGTGTGTCTTCCGGCCCCGCGCCCTCTGTCCTCTCGCTTTCTGGGCATCTGCGTGTGGATCCCGGGCTGTTCGTCCCGTGGGATGCCCACTCTTGGGCTGCTGCTGCTTCTGCCTGGCTGGGTTTGACGAGCTCCTCCATCCTTGCATTTCCTCCAGCCTCGGGTTTGCCAGGCAGTGCCGGCTCCTGCCCTCAACACACTGTGGGGGCACAGGGTGTCCTGGTGCCTCTCATCTGGGGATGGTCAGCCTGGTCACAAAGGCCCCCAGAGGAGGGCTGGGTACTCCTGCCCCTGGTCCTGGGATCCCTGGAGGGCAGGATGCTGGCACCCCCTCCAGCCTGAGCTGCTGCAGAGGGTGGCCCCGCAGGGGGAGTTTTTGTACCGCCATAGAGCTCAGTGCAGCGGGAGGCTGCCTCAGCTCAGGCCCTAACCGTGGTCTCAAGCCAGCTCTCTCCTTGTAGGGACTCGGTTTCCCCATGTTACCCTACTCCCCTGAGCCTGACAGCTCAGCCCCTCTCATGGTGGTGGCTCACCTCTGGCGTTTCATGAAGGTTTGCAAAACGGCGATCTTCGGATCCCATTGCTCCTTCTGCGTTTACTCGCTGGAGATCCTCTGGAAAGAGCTTTCTCCCGTGAGCTGCTCGGCTGGGTGAGAAAGTTCCTGCAGGAAAGCCGGGACCCATGCTTGCTTCCTCCCCCTATTTGCCAGTTCTCAGCGTCACGGCTTGGTGCCCTAACAGCATCCGAGAAGGACAGGAGGTTTCGAAAGTGGTTTGATAAATTCACGGAGTTTTAACCATTTGATGTTTTCTGCCATCACTACCATTAGTCTGTTCAATGTCTGTAGCGCTCCGGCTGGCGCTGGGAGCCCTTCTGCACCCGCTCTGCACCCCCAAATGAAACCCCATCTGGACAGGGACCCTGTCTTGCTCACCCACGGATCCTGGGCACAGCAGGGAAGACACTCCCCTGTGATTTCTTCCAGACGTGTTTGTTTCAGCCTCCGTATTTGCATCTGCAGACTGCACGTGGGAAAACGTGGGGCTCCAGCTTCCTGCATTCTGTACGGATCTGCAACTGCGCTGGCACCTTTAGTAAAGACGTCCCCCGTTTCCTTGATCTGTAATCCTGAATCTGTTGTGAACCAAGCGTCCCGTGTGTGTGTCTGTTTCTGGACCCTACAATCCACTTCACTGACCACGGTATGGCCTGGTCCAGACTCCTGTAGCTTTGTAGTGGGCATTGGCACCTGTGGTCTGAGTCCCTCGCTTTGGTCGTCTTCAAGGTCATCTTGCTATTCTTACCCTGTCCATTCCCATGTAAACTTTAGCTTGGTAACCCCTCTGCAACCCCCAACACACACACTCACACACATCGGCCTGGATTTTAATGGGGATTACATGAAATTTATACATAAATTTTTGTGTTTGTTAACTTGTTTTTAATCCATAAACATATCATATCCCTTCCTTTATTTAAATCTTCTTTTTTTTTCTTTTTTTTCCTGTCACTCAGGCTGGAGTGCTGTGGTGAGATCTCCACTCACTGTAACCTCTGCCTCCCAGGTTCAAGTGATTCTCCTGCCTCAGCCTCCCAAGTATCTGGGATTGCAGGCACACACCTCCACGCCTGGCTAATTTTTGTATTTTTAGTAGAGATGGGGTTTCACCATGTGGGCCAGGCTATCGCAAACTGCTGATCTCAGGTTATCTGCCCACCTAGGACTCCTAAAGTGTTGGGATTACAGGCGTGAGCCCCCAAGCCTGGCCTACTTAAATCTTCTTTAATCTACCTTAGTAAATGTTTTGTTGTTTTTGGAATATTTTTCTAGAACAATTACTAGGTAGTTGATGCGTTTTGATACTACTAAAATGGTATCATTTAAAAATTCTCATTTTCTAATTATTTGTTGCTGGTCTATATAAAGACAACTAATTTTTGTATATTTAGCTTGTATCCAGTGTTGTTGCTAAATTTACTTTTTAAAAATAACAGCTTTATTAAAATATAATTCACATACCATACAGTTCACCTATGTAAAGTGTAGAGTTCAATGCTTGTTAGTATATTCACAGAGTTGCACAACCGTCATTGCAATCAATTTTAGAACATTTTTATCATCCTCCCTCACAAAAAGTACAACAAACAAAAACCTGTACCAACACTAAGTTCATTTTTCATCCTAACACTCACCTAGAGATTATTTTGGATTTTCTACAAACACAATGCGGTTCCTGCTGTGCTTGTGTTGGGAAATCTGCCGGAACCTACAGGAGGGAAATTTTAATGAAAGCACGCGCCTGCTGGAAGACGAACTGGGCTTTTGAAAAGAAGGAGCTGAGTCTGTGCTGACATGAACAAGGTACAGAGAGATCTAAATGCACGGTATAGTGCGTGTTTATGTTGTCCACAACGGCTAATTAAAATGTTCATTCTAACCTTAGACGTGGATTGAGAATTAGGCAGATGTATACAGAATTGAATTAGGAGACTCGGGCTACCAGGAATTTTGAGTGATTCCAGTACAAGCTCCTGAGGGTCTCATCGGTAAAGGCATTTCTGAATGCATCCTCTTCCCCTCCCCAAAGAAGAAGATTAAATGTGCCAGGTCTGTAGGGAAGGTCAGCAGGTGTGCTTGTGACCAAGCCTCCGTCCCCTCACCTGTACCGCTGGCAGGCCGGGCCCCCAGGCAAACCCTAGCGTCTGACTGGATCAACTGAGCAGAACAACCCTGGATTAATTAGGCTTCTGCCCCGAGCTGGGGGGAGCCAGCCACAGAGACCCTGGGCAGGAAAGCTGGGCCAAGCACGAGCCTCCTTCTGTGGGGGGCACAGCGGTGGCTGCCGGAGTCATTCCCAGGGGTCGGAGGCATCCACCCCAGGCTGTCTCCAGGTGATTTGAGCAATGAAGAGAAAAAATTCTTTCTGTGTCAAAATATGTTTCTGTGTTAGCCTAAGGTAAACTGAGAGAAAGAATCCCTGTTTAAGAGAATTTCTGCATAAGTAAGGTTCACAAATCAGAGCTTGTGATTCTCTGGGGGAAAATGTCGTAACAATGTAGGAAACTTTATTTAGACAAGTTTGCTCATTCTATAACTTTGGTACACGTACTACTATAAAATGTCAAGTTTTAACACCGAAAATTAAATTTCCGAGGGTAGCCAGGTGAACAATTCCCTCTGAGGAGAGGGAAGATCCACACTTGATGATTTATTTTCCACCTTTCTCTCCTTTTCCCTGTCCTGGGACTTCCAGAAACCACGGGAGGTGGGGCCAGAAGAGAACAAGGATCTGAAAAATGCTCTCACTCTAACTCCCATGTGGCATGCGTGAGCCAATCTTAGCTTTGATTTGCACTTTCTGAAAGGAAGGAATTATGTCGAAACCTTAGTTTGAGAGATGATGGATTTCTGGGTGGAAATGAGCAAACGGCTGGATGGATGGATGGATGGATGGATGGATAGATAGATGGATGGATGGATAGATGGGTGGATGGTTGGGTGGGTGGGTGGGTGGATGGATGGATGGATGGATGGATGGATAGATGGGTGGATGGTTGGGTGGATGGATAGATGGGTGGGTGGATGGATGGGTGGGTGGATGGATGGGTGGATGGATAGCTGGATGTGTGGGTGGGTGGGTGGATGGATGGATGGATGGGTGATTGGGTGGGTGGGTGGATGGATGGATGGATGGATGGATGGATGGATGGATGGATGGACGGATGGATGGATGACTGGATAGATGGATGGATAGATGGGTGGATGGCTGGGTGGATGGATGGCTGGGTGGATAGATGGATGGATGGGTGGACGAATGGATGGATATGGATGGATGGACAGGTGGGTGGATGGATGGATGGATGGATGGATGAATGGACAGATGGGTGGGTGGGTGGATGGTTAGATGGATGGATGGATGGATGGATGGATAGATGGATTGGTGGGTGGATGGTTGGGTGGGTGGATGGATGGATGGATGGATGGATGGATGGATGGATGGGTGGATGGGTGGATGGATGGATGGATGGATGGATGGATGGATGGATGGGTGGATGGGTGGATGGATGGATGGATGGATGTGTGCAGAGGAAAGAGGCAATGTCATTGGTCTCCATGTGAATTCCAGCCAGCAAGACTACAATGCGCCTATGAGACCAAACTGTATTTTGTTTCCATTTTGAGGATAAGCTTACGCTTAGAAGAAAAATCACAGCTTCTGAGCTACTGGTCTGCAAATTGGCAACAGCACGAAGCAGATAAGGGAATACGCTTGCTATGGACCTGTGCCCAGACATGAAGCAGATAAGAGAATACGCTTGCTATGGACATGTGCCCAGACGAAGAACAGTGGCTAGTTGTTCAAACATTTCCTTCCAAGGCTAATATTTTCCGAAGGAAAAATATAACAAAGGTGATTACTGCCACATTTACATCTCTGCAAGGCCCCGTTTTATTTTTAACCTGATAAAAGGGACCGGAACTAGTGGATCCATGTCATGACGCACTTGTCAAAACCCACAAAATGTTTGACACAAGGAGTGAGCTCTAATGTGAGCTGTGTGTTCGCGTGACTGATAATTGTACCAAACGCAGCACAGGAAGCAGGGTGTCAGTCCCAGAGGAGCCGAGGCACTGGGGGCTCCCTGGACCTGACACTCAGTTTTTCTGTAAACCTAAAAATGCTCTAAGTAACAAAGTCCACTAATTAAAATGTTTAAAAAGGAGCCAAATCATGCTCCTTCTTTAATACATCTTATATGCTTTTCCCAATGATAATATGAATCATTTTAAATGTCCGATCTGGAGATTTTCATATTGTTTTTGAAAAACTGGGCATTTTGGAAATCCCCTTTTGGGTCATGTCATTACCTGATACAGTTCATTAAACATTTTGTGAATGACTCTGACACACACGATGGCTCCCTTGTTTTCATTCATAAATGGGATTTTATAGAAGCACTGATTATGTCATCATATTATAAAGGCCTACAAAATTGCTCCTGAACCTGAATTGCAGGGTGAAATTTAAAGGCAAGCATCTCTAATAATATCAATGTGGAAAGTTATTGTATTTTGATCTCATTCCATTACGGTTTCTGACATTCTCAAATGGCCTTTGCACTTTGTAGGAATAGGGCATTAAGAAATAAATACCTGGCCGTGTGCGGTGGCTCACCCCTGTAATCCCAGCACTTTGGGAGGCCAAAGTGGGTGGATCATGACGTCAGAAGATCGAGACCATCCTGGCTAACACGGTGAAACCCCATCTCTACTAAAAATACAAAAAATTAGCCGGGCGTGGTGGCGGGCGCCTGTGGTACCAGCTACTCGGGAGGCTGAGGCAGGAGAATGGCATGAACCCGGGAGGCGGAGCTTGCAGTGAGCTGAGATCGCGCTACTGCACTCCAGCCTGGCGACACAGTGAGACTCCGTTTCAAATAAATAAATACCTGAGTGTCCTTTTAAAATTAGAATTCAATACCAAATTGTGGGTTATTTTAAAAATATGCTAAAGACTGACTATTCTGAAGATAAAGACACCTTTTTTTCTCTTCTCAGAGAACTGTATTGCTTTAAAACCACGCTCCCAGGAATGACCACCTGCAAGCTTGCACTCTGACTCCCATCCCAAGACATTCGGGCCAGTATGAGCAGAGAGGTTCCCAGCACCGTCACAAGACCCCGTGATATCATTTTAGACTCATTTGTGGCTGTTGACAACACCACACACATGAAATTATGCTCACTGGAATCGAAATGTTCAGCTAAACAAAGAATGGCATTGGTCATGAAATTATTAACAGGAGGGATGACATTCCAGAGTGGGCCATTCAAGAATTTGAATTCAAATCATTCTCATGTAAGATGTTGGAGCTAGATTTACACCTATGCGTGTGCACCCACCAGGTCAAAGTCTCACTTCTGCCCAGTCCCTGCCACACCCACCCCAGAGTCGTCAAAGGGACAGGCTGGTGGGGACTTGGGTGCAGACAGGAGGTAGTGCCAGTTCAAGGTGTCCCCATGGTCAAGTTGTGGCTACCTGAACACTGAAAGAAAAAAAAAATCATAGTTACTTAAAATAAACTTATTACCTAAAAACTGCAAACCCCCAGTGGTACACGAAGACAACTTCCTTTTTCTTGTCTAATGAATAGTACTAAACAGAGGCCAACTGATTCATACAAATGCTACTCGCTTGAGCTGGGTTTTGATTATGTTTTCTTTTTTTTTCTTTTCTTCTTCTTTTTTTTTCTTTTTTTCTTTTTTTTGAGATGGAGTTTTGTTCTTGTTGCCCAGGCTGGAGTGCAATGGCCCAATTTCGGCTCACTGCAACCTCTGCCTCCCGGGTTCAAGTGATTCTCCTGCCTCAGCCTCCCAAGTAGCTGGGATTACAGGCACCTGCCACCACATTCAGCTATTTTTTGTATTTTTAGTACAGATGGGATTTCGCCATGTTGGCTAAGCTGGTCTTGAACTCCTGACCTTGGGTGATCCACCTGCCTCGGCCTCCTGAAGTGCTGGGATTCCAGGCATGAGCCTCTGCGCCCAGCCTGTCTTTGCTCTTAAAAGGTGCAGAAATATGCATTCGTTTTCTGGGGCTGCTGCAACACTGTTCCACAAACCTGATGGCTAAGAACAGAGGTTGTCTCACAGATCTGGAGCCAGAAGTCCCAGATCAAGGTGTGGGTGGAGCCGCACCCCCTCCACAGGTCCAGGGAGGGGTCACAGGTCTGGGGAGGGAGCCCTGGCCCAGGGAGGGGGGCACAGGTCCAAGGAGAGGTCACAGGTCTGGGGAGGGAGCCCTGGCCCAGGGAGGGGGGCACAGGTCCAGGGAGGGGGCACAGGCCTGGGGAGGGGCACAGGCCCAGGTAGCACAAGCAGCTGAAGGCCCAGTGGGACCCTGACCCCTGATGGCCAAAAATACGAGGGTGACAGGCAGGCACCATGGCCCAGAAGGGCCCCCAGCCCCGTCTTTACCTGCAGGCCAAGCTTCCCCCCACCAGCCACCCCCACGGGCCTCTCAGCTGGCGTGGGACACAGAACAGCATGTTGACAAAAACCAACACAAAGGCGGCAAAGCTGCCGGCCACGTCTCAGTGACTGTGAACGGATTCCGGGGTAACGGTGAGATGTGTCCACGCTGAAGGAGCTGGGGGGTGGGAGTGGAGCACTGGAGGCCCCGTCTCTGCTGGGCAGGACACGGGGGAGTGGAGAGCAGGAGGCCCCGTCTCTGCTGGGCAGGACATGGGGGAGCACAGACCCCATCGTGAGCACAGACAGAGGAGAGCTCGGACTCCTCACTCCAGGGAAGGCACATGGCTGCCCCCACACTGCACCTGCAAGACTCGACCACACCAGGAAGACCAGAATCATTTACCTAGAAAGAAAGAAAGGCTCACATTCAATCAACCAGACACATCATCTGAAAATTTGGGGAAAAATACTAAAAGGAACCCAAAGATAGATAAAGAACAGCACCAGTGAAGACAGCAGGAGGCGGGGACTTGGTCAGTGAAGGCCCGACTCTGAGGCCAGTGCAGTGCGGGGTGAGGCTGCCCAGAAACTCCTGGGAGCCCCCACAGGCAGACACCGAGGGAGGGAACTGTTCCCAGCCACGGCTTTCTTGGCACGACATAAACCAAGAAGCCTCTGAAGCCTGCAAGACCCAGGACCTTCTCCAGTCAAAGGCCGCTGACATCTGCTCCGTCCGTGGAGGAACCAGACCCACAGGTCACAGAAACCACAGCCAAACATTTGAAATGATGAAACTCTTCCCCACCAGTTCGTTATGTCTCCAGGGCAGGGCCCTAGAAGTAGAATTCCCTGGTTGAAAAGACGACATCTTTAAAAACTGTCACGTAAGAACAACCCTGTCCTTCCCATGCCCGCCAGCCCCGGGAGCCGCCTGCCTCACTCACTCATCCCCACACCGAAGGCTCCAGAGTAGTTCCAGGCGCTGGGGATCCATCGCAGCAAAGCAGCGGGGAAATCCCTGCCGTGCGAACACACATTCCAGTAAGAGACGAGGAGACAGGCTGCTGGGTGCTGGTTAGGAAAGTGAAGGGGGTTGTCAGAGGGGCCTTGCTGAGAAGACCCCGAGAAAAGACTGGAGGAGGCCAGGAGCGAGGGAGGCCTGCGTGGCCCGGGGAACAGCATCGCAGGCAGAGGGAACGGCGAGGCAAAGGCGAGTCAGGTGTGTACCCGGTGTTCCAGGATGGAGAGTCCATGTAGCCACAGGGTGGGGAGGGAGGAGAGGACCTCAGGGCGGGACGTGGGTGAGTTGGGAGCCACCCTGGCGGGTCTGCCAGATCCTAACAGGGTTACCAATCTTCTGGCTCAAAAGCCAGCTGTCGGCCAGAGAGCAAGCTTTGGGGGCTGCAAGAGGGGTGACATTGGTGTCTCCGCCCAGCTCAGGTGGGACAGGCCGGCCTGGCTGACCCTGGGGTTTCTCGTCTGTCTGAGCATCGTCCCCACCACCTTACACGTCGGATGCACGTGTGGACAGTGATGACTGGTGGGCCTTTGTGGGGTCTGGGCTCTGCACAGGGGCTTGGTGGTGAGGGAAGATGCGGGGACGGAAGGGAACCTGCTGTTGGTGAGAACGCGCCCAGGACACCTGATAGTCTCTCATCTCAGTCCTGCTGAGCCGCCCCTCCTGGCTGCTCCCACACACCGCAGGGCCCTGGACTCACGTGGACAGGAAGACGGCAGCACCCGCCACGGAGGGGAATGGCCCAAGTCTGTCAATGCTCTTCAGGTAGCAGCTTGTTGACTGGGTCATGGCTGACCCAGTAAAGCAGTGGCAGAAGCCAGCGGTTGAGGGCACGTCTCAGGTTTACCTGCACTTGCTGGGAACTGGTTTTTGTTCCTCCAGGGGCCCCGCGGGGTGGTTTCCAGTCTCTGAATCACCTAGGACTCCAGACGGCCTCCTCTTACACCATGGGCGGACGCTAAGGGGGTTGTTGGAGGCTTGAGAGATGCAAAGAAGGGAGCCTGCTGGATCCAGAATCCCCACTGTGTCTCCTCCTCGGTGTCCAGAGGATCAGCTGTGTACGTACACAGACACACATATGCACAGACACACGGACGCACGGACACAGTGACAGACACGCAAGCACACAGACACATAGACACACACACAGATGCACCAACACACAGATACACACTGACACACACACACAGTGACACACACACAGATGCACAGACACACAGACACATAAATGCACCAACACATAGACACACACACACAGTGACAGACACACACAGACACAGATGCACTGACACACAGATACAGACAGACTCACAGACACGGACACACTGACACAGATGCACAGACACACACAAATACCACACATGGGCACACACATGGTCCGGAAATTTAGGGAATTCTAAGAAAGATTTTTAAATGTTTAGTTTATTATTTTATTATTTTCAAATAGAGTTTTGTTCATGTAAAATCTAAAAGTGGCTTTAGGGCGATTTGGGTTTTATAAATAATCCTCACTGTAAATAGTTTCAGGACAACATGAGAGGAGGCAGCAGCCCCTGCCCCGGCCCTCCCCCTGCCCGCTCTCAGCCCCTGCCCCGGCCCTCCCCCTGCCCGCTCTCAGCCCCTGCCCCGGCCCTCCCTCTGGCCCCTCTCAGCCCCTGCCCCGGCCCTCCCCCTGCCCGCTCTCAGCCCCTGCCCCGGCCCTCCCTCTGGCCCCTCTCAGCCCCTGCCCCGGCCCTCCCTCTGCCCGCTCTCAGCCCCTGCCCCGGCCCTCCCCCTGCCCGCTCTCAGCCCCTGCCCCTGCCCCCTGCTCTTCCCCCTGCCTGCTCTCCGGATAGTCGGCCCCCGAGGGTGGGTGCCTGGCCTGCCAGTGATTCCTCCTTCACTTAGGTTCCTCCCGATGTCCTGCGGGGGCCACCCCCCACCTGACCTGCCGCATGCGTCCCCTCCCTCACTGCCCACTCTTGGCTAAATCCACAGGCACTGCTTGTCACGGCTGGGCCCTGTACACACAGCATTCCCCTAATCATCCGGCCCAACTCAGCCCTCTGGAGGCTCAGGCTCCTCCTCCCAGGACACAACCCCCGCCCTCTGCGGCACTCCACAGCGTGTGAGAGGGCCAGACCCATTCCCCACGTCTCCCCACGGGGCAACCCCTTGGTGGGCTGTGGGCCTCCCAGCCTGGGTGGTCCTGGCCCTGCCCTTAGCCAGCCTGGCCTCCCTGGGCCACCCTGTGCTGAGCGGCCGCCCCCACCAAGGCTGAAGCTGCCCCCGGGCTGACCTTCTTCTGCCTTCGGAGCAGGTTCCCGCTGGCTCACCGGGTATGGCCCGTGGGGACAGTGGGAACCGGGGATCTCAGCATTCCTTCCAAAGATGCACAGCCCAGACTAGAATGAGGTGCTCATCTCCAGGGCAAAATTAAAGCAGAGAGCAGGAGGGTTCCAAAAACTCACTCATCAGAAAAGTGATATTTTAATGCAATACTTTTCAAAATCAAGAGTAATGCAAAAAATATCCATGACAAAAAAACAAAATAAAAAAGGACATTCTTCTTTTCAAAAGAAGTCTTGTTTCTTTCCAGTTCATTTTCCAGAAGTCTGAGGTGGTTCGGGCCGCCATGGGTCCCTTCCCATCCTCTGCCCCTATGTGGGGCTGTGCTGTGGATGGAAGCTTCTCGCCAAAGCCTGGCAGCTCCACCCTGAAGGCCCCTCAGGTTCCTGGAGCGGCTCCACCTCCCCTCCCCTTTCCCACAACCCCTCCCTACCCATCTTGAGACCCTCCACCCTAGCAGAGGCCCCACCTCGGAGTTCCTGACCTGATGGGAGTCCACCCCCTCCCCCGCCTCAGCCAGGGCCCCCCTGCCCCCAGTTTCACCCAGAGACCGCACTCTGCCCCGTGAGGGTCCTTCCACCTGGGGCTGAGAAGGAGGACACCAGGCAGTGTTTGAGGAGCCCCCTTCTGTGGAGACCTTCTGGTGGTTATGTTGGGTGAAAAGAAGGAAAACGGTTGTGAAGAAGCCAGTCGGCTGTCCAGTGCCAAGCCCTGTGCCGAGCCCTGACTGCCCTGCACTCTTGAGGCCCTGGGCCCTGACCACCCTCCACCCTGAGGCCCTGGGCCCTGACCACCCTCCACCCTGAGGCCCTGGGCCCTGACCACCCTCCACCCTGAGGCCCTGACCACCCTCCACCCTGAGGCCCTGGGCCCTGACCACCCTCCACCCTGAGGCCCTGGGCCCTGACCACCCTCCACCCTGAGGCCCTGGGCTCTGACCACCCTCCACCCTGAGGCCCTGAGCCCTAACTGCCCCCAACCTTAACTGCCCTCCACCCTGAGGCCCTGGGCCCTGATCACTCACCCTGAGGCCCTGAGCCCTGACCACCCTCTACCCTGAGGCCCTGAACGTTGACCACCCTCCACCCTGAGGCCCCGAACGTTGACCACCCTCCACCCTGAGGCCCTGAACGTTGACCATCCTTCACCCTGAGGCCCTGAGCCCTGACCATCCTTCACCCTGAGGCCCTGAGCCCTGACCATCCTTCACCCTGAGGCCCTGAGCCCTGACCATCCTTCACCCTGAGGCCCTGAACGTTGACCATCCTCCACCCTGAGGCCCTGAACGTTGACCATCCTCTACCCTGAGGCCCTGAACGTTGACCATCCTCCACCCTGAGGTCCTGAGCCCTGACCATCTTTAACCCTGAGGCCCTGGACCCTGACACCCCTCCATCCTGAGGCCCTGAGCCCTGACCCCCCTCCACCCTGAGGCCCTGGTCCCCAGCCTGGCTGGGCCCCAGAGCAGTGAGCAGGGCAGCAGGGCGGAGTGAGCAGGTCCCCTCAGGTGACCATCAGGTGATGCCTGGTCCTGGGCACCCTGCACCCACTGTGCTTGGCCAGTGGCCCCTCCACTCAGCGCTCCCAGGGGCCTGGGCTGACCCCGGCTGCCCTAACCGTGTTCGTGTATGGCACCTGAGGGCTCAGGCCAGGCAAGTGTCTACCAAGGGCAGCAAATACTGGGGCACCTGGCCCGAGGCCACAGGGACAAGCAGCCTCCCGCAGAGCCTGGCATGTGGGGGTTTGAATGCTCTCATCTCCCTGTTTAATGATTTCCTCAGCAAACACATCCTCAGAATTGCTCAAGGCTGAGGTCACTGTTCAGCTCGGCTTCCCAGGAGCCTGTGAAGACATTTGAAAAAGGGTCCACTGAAAACAGCACGGGCTGGGCTGCCAGCAACTTGGTAGGTGGGAGGGCAACTTCCAAAAAGCCCTCCAGTCAGAAAACAAAATGGCAAAAGACGTCTCCTCTGGGGGCCTGGTCCGTGACAGATGCACCTTTGAAATCCTGGGCCAGGTGTCTGTCCATCTGGGGCCAGACGAGCGCTGAATTCTCCAAGAGAAGGTGGGGTTCGGACGCTGCACCCGTCCCTGGCGGAATTCCAGGTGGAGCTGGGAAAGGCATTGCTCCCACCCACAAGAAAAAAGCCACAACAACTACATGTCAACAGCGCGTGACCAGTCCAGGAGCCCGGAACCAATCTGGAAGAGGCAGGTTCCTCTGCGGGTGGGACCCTGGGCAGGTGCCAGGCCAGGACACCGTGTCAGCTGGTGAGAAATGTGAGCTGGGGATGGTCAGCAGACTGCGGCCTGGGGTGGCTGCTGGGCGGGGTGGAGATAGGGAATCCCCCCAGGCTCTTCCCACAGTACTGGCTGAGGGGTGGCACCCTCCGGGACCACGGAGCCCAGGGAGGCCTGGGGTACCAGGATGTGGGTACATGTGCTGTGAGCAGTGCACCTGGAGGAAGGGCTGGAGAACTCTGAGCAACCTGAGCCCAGGCCCACGGCGGAGGATGTCCCTCTGGGCTCTGCAGTGGGCAAGACCAGGAAAGCTGGGAGGGACAAGTCTCTCTCCAGCCCCTCGGGAAGTGAAGCCCCAGGGCCAGGCAGAGATAAGCACAGGTGTGTCTGGAGCAGCCTGAGGGTGGCCGTGGCCACAGCAGACATCAAGCCAGGGGACTCCAGCGGGGCTGGGCTCAGGCCCATGGTAAAGGCAGGCAGAGGGTGGGGGCTGTTACGGGCTGAGTGGTGTCCCCCAGATCCATGCATCAAAGCCCTAATGGCCAGGACCCCAAAAGGTGACTGTATTTGGAGACAGCTTTTAAAGAGGTGATTAAAGTAAAATTCATTCCTTAGGGCAGGCCCTGATCCAGCCTGTCTGGGGTCCTTCTAAGGGGAAGGGAGGACACAGACACACGGAGGGACCACCCTGCGAGGACCCAGGGAAGAGACGCCGCCCACAAGCCAAGGAGAGGCCTTGGGAGGAACCAGGCCTGCCACACCGGGACCTGGGATGTCCAGCCTCCAGGACAGAGAGAAATAACAGTCTGCTGTGGAAGCTGCAGCAGAAAACTTAAAAGCTTGAACAGGCTGCTCTGCTGCCGGCATGAGAGACGTTTCCCTGCGAGGCTGGGCAACTCCTCCACTGCTGGTGGACGGAAAATGGGGTGGCCTCCACGTGCCTGGTTTATCCCGGAGAGGGGAGGACCTGGGTACGCGCAAGCATGCAGCCTGTGTGGCAGCGTCCACCGCGGAAATGTCAGGAGCGTGACGGCTGGAAAGGACCCGGGGTGCCGCCCTGGTAATGGGGTGACAGACAGGAGCATCTGAGGCAGGAGGCGGGGCTCAGATACTGGACCACATGGAGGACTGGCTAACACAGGGCGGGGCAGAGGCAGCTTTCCATGAGACACGCCCTCTAGTGTGCCATGTCAGTTAACGGTTGCCATGGCAATACCTGGGTGCTACTACCCCTTTCCATGGCAACCATCCCACCACCCAAGAGTTACTCCTCCTTCCCTAGAAGGAGCACCCACCCCACGCAAGGACTGTGCCAGGGCGGGGTCCAAGAGGCGTGGGGCTGTCTGTGGCCTTGACGGCCTCGTGGGCACAGTGCAGACTTGGACATGGGTGGCAGGGCCGGGCGCTCGGAGCTGAGAACGGGTCCAGGAGATGCTGACACCAGCTAAGCTCCTGCTGTGAGACCCCTGACCCCCACCCTCTCTGATGGCCTCACCCTCAGGGACAGCCTGCAAGTTCAGCGACGATGTCTCCATTTCACAGATGAAAAGGCTGAGGCTTGGTGCCAAG